TAAAAGACCGGTCCGGACCGGTCCTCAAAATATGGACCGAGGACCGCAAGGACCGGTCCTATTAACCGGTCTAAGACTGGTCTTACCAGGCCCTACCAACCTGGGCATAAAAATCGTTTTGCAATGCGTAAGTGTCCAGGATGTTTATGTGCAATTCCAAGTAGCTCCGCTCATAGAATATCTCCATGCTTGTTACTATAAAGTGAAATACTTGCACTAAATTATATGCTTGCGTCCTCGCGAAGATGATATCTTTCAAAATACCGAAACTTCTTTCGATATAATTGTTAGTATGATTTCCGCGTATAGGCAGTCCTACACGAAAAGAATGGGCCTAAATATAATAAAATTATCAGTATAGAATGTCATACATTATAGAATAATTATAATAGCATTTAATAAACTACCCAAAATTGACGACGCTCCCACAAGATTTCAAAGTGGTTCCGAAGTAATGGATAAAAATAATAAAATGTTTGTGCAAATTCACGGTAATGCGTATCCATCTCCAAACTTGATGATGCGTAAAGAATTTCTTCATCTTCTCCATTATAAGAGCTCGATCCTCCTTTTTAATTTTGTGTTTTGAGTCATGAAGCCACCTCCAAAATGCCTGTAGGACGTGAAATGTACACAAAAGACGGGTCCCTGTGATAAATTTGAATTCATAGTTGATAATTCGATTCAATTCGTTAAATTTATTTCAATTAAAGTACAGTTCATCTTCATAAGTAAACAACGCGGAGGTAGGCGAATGCCCATCCTTAAATAACTCAACAAGTTTTTCTTTGACTTCATCTTTGACACGGCGAAAACTTAGCGACTCAGCTGAATTGATTACATGGTTATGGGTAAAGTTAATTTCTAATGGATGGGTATGTATAAGGTTCCGACGTTCCAATCGAACATGAATGTTTGCGTGATAGTCAATATCACGCGCTCGAGAAGACTGCGGACGCTTAGTCATACGATTTTTTCCTTGCTTTGTCTTGACCTGATGACTGTGGATGCAATGCCTTAATTCTCGAAAAAGAACTCAGTTTTTTGTCAATTTAAAATCTCTCGATTCTGGCATTTTGATTTTTGAATGGGATTCGAATGCTATAACCTATCCAGATACTTCTTCTTCATTGCATACATCTATAAATGCATCTAGCTCAAAATTTTCAACTTCAAAATTCTCTTGCGTTTGGTATGGCGATAGAATAACAAGTTTTGGATCAAATAAGTATAATTGCATGGAAGCACCGGCTTTAAAATATCTGGTAAAAGATCCCATGAATAAATCTATAAAATAATAATGCAATTTAATGAACAAATAAATACAATGAATAAGTTGTTATTGTAAATGCATTGTAAATTTATATTAAATAAAGTAAACTAGCTACATGATACAAAATTATCAATAATCTAAAAATTTTTTTTCGAAATAAAGTTCACCCCAAAACTCAGCTTTCCATATAGACTGTTTTAAAAAGAAAATATCGATAGAGAAAACAGGTGCATAATTGATAAACCTGTTGAATATTTTCAGTATTATCGTCTTTCATACTGTTTCAAGAATCACTAGTTGTATAACTTTTGAAAACTTTAATTTTAAAGGTACTTATATGAGCGTTAGAAGGGTTACTAGACACTTTTGTATAGTAAAAGTGAAAAGGAAAGTCTTGATTGAGAGAGGAGAATATTTGCCTCTACTGAGAAGATAGTGTGTGGGTAAAAAAAAAAATCAAAGTAACACGCGCTGTCACACGTCAATTTTGTTTGTCACTATAAGTAGGAACAGTCGAATTGATTGACACTGCGTCACATCTTCGGCGTAATCTGTCACACATTTAGGTTGTGCCAATTAAATGAATTATGATACAAATACTTTAAATTCCGGCAAAATCCGGAATTTTTAAAAAATCCCCGGTAAAATTTTTTTGTAACGGATTTTTTTCCGGAAAATTTTTATGATCGACCGGCAAATTTCGACATAAATAAATTATCATTTGATAAATTTGATAATCAAATTTTTTTCGATTGTTTGAGCAAAATGTCTATCGAACAATATTTTAAAAAAAAAATTTCTAACGAAGATATGGACGAAATTAACGATAATGAGTTAATGTTATAGATTCGGATTTAGAAAAAACTCATACCAATATTAATAAAAAACTACAAAAAAATTTAAATTTTAAAAAGAAAAAGACGCGCCTCTTAACGAAAAAGAAGACTGAAGGTTTTCAAGAAGAATGGTTAGAAATTTACAAATGGCTCATATAGGATAGTTCGAAAAATCTATTGTTTTGCTCATTATGCAAAAGCTATAAAAAATTGAATAAATTTGGAAAAGAAGGTAATATAATTTTTATTTTATTACTTTATTTAATTTATAATTACATTAATAACCGAAAATGATTTAAATTAGGTTCAAAAAAATTTAAAACTTCTGCTTTATCAGAACATACTTCAACAAAAGATCATACTGATGCAACAAACCTTGAGATATCAAGGGCGGAATTTATTAGAGTTTCAAATAATTCTATAGATAAGGCTCAAAATCATGTTGGTTCTTTAATGAAAATAATTTTTTGGCTAGCAGAAAATGATATTTCGTTAAACAAGTTATCTGAAGTTGTAAAACTTTGTAGAATTCTTGGATGTCCTCAATTAATATCAGCTTTTAGTACAATTAATTATGAAAATAATGTTTCTGGACGCGAAATGTTATATGCTATTTCAATTTCAATAGAGGAAACTATCTGGGAAGAATTAATTGAAGCTATTGCATTTGGTATTATAGTTGATGAAAGTACAGTTATTATATATGTTAAATATTGTTTGTGTGGAAAGATTAAAATTCGTTTTTTAAAATTATTTCAATTCTTCGGAACAGGGAAATTACTTTTTAAATTTGAATAATCTTTGATTTTCAAAAAGTATTACTGGTGTTCTCCTCCTATTTTAACATACATGTACATTATTTTCAAATATTTACATATATGTTTTTTTAAAGGAGGTTTATATTTTAGAATTTGAAAGTTATGTAGGAATTTAAATAAAATCTAATATTTACTCTGATGGTGATTAAAATATGATATACAGTAAGCTTATTTCCGGTAATCAATAGTAATAAAATGTACGCCTTGGTTTACAATTGCTCCTTCATTTTTCTATAAATATATATTTTACTGTCTCCAAACGCGATAATAATATTGGTGGTGTGTTTGATCGGTTCTATTTCATGAAAGCTCTCGACGCCAATTATCAAGATTCCTTACCTGATACCAACCAGTTTTTCATTTCAACATTCAGCTTTTAATCACGATACCTATCTATAATATAAATAAAATTACGTAAAACTTTGATGGAACGCTTTGTAAATATCTGTTGTTTTAACTAAATATTTTACACATATTTTCCTTTATTAAAATAGGTATTTTTTAAATGTATGTTTCTCAACAATCTAAGAAATCAGAAATTGATCTTTTCACGTGAGTAAAACGGCGTAAAAAATAATAAACACCTTTCTCTATAGGAATTTAACTCTGATCCATGACTTGAAGACTAAAAAATATTGAAAATTGATGAAATGTTTATCAGTACTATTAATTAATTTATTTACCAATTATTATTTGTATTTCTATTAGGGAAATCTTTAAAAATATTGAAATGGCATAATTATTACAATAACAAGAATTATTCTTTCATTTTGCATAAACAAAAGTCAATATTCAGCTCACAGTTAATCATGAGGTATGTTCATAGGAACAATGAATCAACTTAGTAACTTTTCGTCAAATATTTGTTCGATTGAATTATGATTTCTAACGCTTAATAGAATAACGATCATAAACATAAGCTGAATGGATTTAGTTCAGAAAGAAGTAAGTTCTAATTTCTTGAAAAGAGAGTTTATATTGACGCCAAACTTATATTATTTTCTATCCACTGGACTGGTTTCATAATATTGTGATTCACGTGAATAAGGTTGCCGGGCAAAACCCGGAGGTTTCGACAGGCATCGAAATCGAAACCCGTCAAAAGTTTTTGTCAAATATTTTTATTAAAGGCAAAATCGCGAAAGTTTCGACGGGTGGCAAAAGTTTCGACGGATGGCACCTTCTGATATTAAAATACAATTTTGAAATTTAAAAATTTATTATTTTTGTTTACAAATCGTATATATATCAAAGGTCATTTTCTTTTAAATATCATATTTATAAAAGATAAGAAAAAAATCAAAAAATTTAAACTCATGACATATCCCTATCTTCTTCTTCACCCATTAAACTTCATTTGAAAATCATCATCAATAGGTTGGAACCGGATTTGATAAATCAGTTCGATCCTGGCTTGCTACTCAAAATTAATACTAAATAAAAAACCGTTAATCAAAATTTTAAATTAAGGTGTGAGCTAGTTGATGGTAAAAAAGGGACAAGTTGTTTTCTTTCAGAAATAATTTGAATGAGCTAAAAACAACTTCTCATGCAGCACAATGATTTATCTATTTTGATGTTTGATAGTATTAATATGAAATTCATTTATGTGCGACGATATGATGATAAAATTTGTTAGTTTGAAATATAAAAAATAAACCCAGGTTCCAACCTCTATCATCATCTTCTTCATAAGATAATTCTTCTAATTCTTCAACAAGTTCCTGTGCTTACAAATTTAAAACCTCGATTTATATTCTAAAATTGCGATACAATAAACCAATTAAAACCCGTCGAAACTATCGATCATAATACGAAATTAATTAATATAAGGATTTTCATCGCCATGGCATGTCACTCATATCACGTGGTTATTATCATCATGTGTACTATAAGTTATTTTTATCACTATAGATTTGATACAATAAATTGCAATCTTTTTTTTATTATATAAGCAATATAATACAATACAAACATTTCGCATAAAACTAACTAATGACCATCCGATTGTACCTTGCAATCTCTTTGATAGTGTCCTACTTCTCCACATTTTCTATATTGTCATTGACCCTTTGCATTAAATTTAGGAGTTTCACAAGCTGATTTAAATCTCTTAGTGCAGTGCCTAGTGAACACCCTTTGCCACGCCACGTTTTTTCTTTGGATTTTGCAAGAATGGTATCGATGATCTAAATATTCCTTACCACTTGATTCATAACGCCATCAGCGCAGCGGTCATCGTGTCCCCCCTTTTTCGGGGGGGGGGAATTTTTAAAACTGAAATTCTTTAACCTAACCTTAAACCCTAAACTCTAAACCCCAAACTCTAATCCCCTAACACTATCCCTAACCTAAGCCTAAGCTCTAACCCTAAGCCCTAACCCTAAACCTAACGCCTAAAAAACAACTCTGAGAAAAAAATACATTACCATTTTCGTCTAAGATATCCTCGGTCATATTTTATGCAAAGTGCAAAGTGTTTGAAATAATATTCGTATGTAATACAGCCAAATCAAAAAAAATAATGTGGCATAAACAACAGATAAACTGAACTGAAATAATAGTTATATGTAAAACTTCTAAAGGAGTATAGTGTTGAGTTGCGCAAATAACACTAAAGTTCTTTGAGAATGTTAAAATATTTTAAAATATGAGAGAAAAATGTCATGATCATATGAATATCACGTGCATATAAAGACTGGCGATAAATCGCATATGCGATAAATGATAATTTTCTTTTAAAAAATAAACCTTAAATTTTTAAACTTCTGCATCATGAACAGATTACATATTTAATCAAAAGATCAAACAATATTTATTATTCAAATTATGTGATCCATAAACAATGATAATAATATCAATTGTCATATTTTTATAATCCAATTAATTACAAACACTGTTGGCAAAAAAGACTTGCAGTTAATTATAAGTAGCCGTAAAGGGGAAAAAAAAAATCTTCACAATAGAATGGTAAATTTATCCGATATTTCCGTTAAAAACATTTATAAAAGTCTCATCGGGTTTATACGCGATCCGCCAAGTACCGAAAACTTTTTTTATTAAACATAAAAATTACTTATTAACAGGCACTTTAGTTGTTGCTGGAGCTATTTTGGGCCCCATTGCAATTTGTGGGGTAGTAAAAGCGTTAGGATTCGGTGAAGTTGGTATAGCGGCTGGTTCTATTGCAGCATGGATGGTTCGCAATTCGGTTGGAATTGGTCTTCCCAATAAGAAAAAAAAAAAAAAGGAAAATTGAATTCTTGGCTTATTATATTTAGAATTTTACCCCGAATAGTTCCTTAATTTTTTGTTTTCTTTCATAAATTTGTTTTTCTTTGGTCTCTATGCCGTTACATCGTGGAGCTGTCGCTGCGGGTAGCCTTGTTGCGATTTACAATCTATTGGCGCTGTAAGTTTAGGTATTTGGGCAGTTATTGCTGTCGGTTCTGAGGTGGTTTTTTGGTATTTTAATTGCAAAGACGATGCTTAAGATATCAGAATCAAATCCCGAAAGATTAGTAGAATTAGAAAACTTTGTTTCATCAATGAAAGTGATGATGATGATGATGATGATGAAAAAAATAGATTGCATAAAAAAGTATTTTTGACATGAAAAAAACACCTCCTCGATAGAAATGCGATTGAAAAATTAAAATCATTTCTTAAAGGGTTTGACTTGGCTCGGGAAGTTGCCAAAGACAGAGCAAAGAAATTCGAATTTTTAGTTATTAGAGATGATCATGAAGGGATCGAAATATTGGATCAACACTTGACCAAAATCAACGGAAATAATTGTGTTTCTTCTGAACAGAGTAGTTACGTTCTGAATTTGAAAAATCCTTGATTTTCAAAGAGCATTACTGGAAATATTATCAAATTTATGTTTTTAATTTTTTTTAAAGGAGGCTCATATTTTAAAAAATTTATTTTTCCGATATCCTCCCGTAATTTTTTTATAATTAACTATGACTATAGTAAATCGTGTTTCAGGCACTAAATAGGTTATCATCGTGTATCAGGCAATTAAAAATTGCATAATTTTAAATATTTGTAATAATTGTCCTATTTGCTTGTATTGGAAAATATTCTTGTAATGCCTTATTCATTAATTGTGAAGCCTTTTATTAAAAACATTAGATAATCAATATATTAAAATTAAAAGAAGCTTCATAAAATCCATTTATAGTTGTTAATTTTTAATTCTACACTATAAAAATTCGTATTTTAAAGTATTTCGTGGTGAGAAAAAGAAAAGATTAAATTACGTGATACCGGATGATATCACTTATCCAGCACTTCGAACCGAATAGCCACCGAACCACCGCTAGCTGATTGTGATTCGGGTTCCTGCGGAGCCCGAATTCAACCAATCAAATTTGATTTACCCAATTAATATACATATTCTCCGACGAATAACTATTTTTATATATTTAATTATTTCCGGTAATCATTCGTAAATTCCGAATGATTCTATTTATGACACGCTTCGAATTCTCCTCAATTTCTTTTCCCAAAATAAAGTGTCCCCCCGATAATATTAGTGATTCTATTGTACTATTTCATACCCCATAAATCTAAAATGTCGATAAAATTACTGAATAGCGAAGTGTATATGACGCCACGAGTTGTTGAATGTTCGCTTCAACCAAATATTTTCGCTGTCCAGTTTTTTAATAATCTAATAAATCAGAAATTGATCTTTACACGTGACAAGGAAGTTTCTCTATAGAAGAAATTTAGCACCGATCCAATTTTTCCGGCGGAAATCCCGATTGATGAAATTATTAATTAGTTTTCCCGTTATAACTATTAAGAGAATCTTATTTTGTGTTCAGGGGTTATTATTACTATAACAAGAACTTATTGTTTTTTATTTCGTCCATTTTGCACAACCAGCGTCTATATCCGGCTCACCGAATTTTGCGGATCACGAGGAATATCAAGGGATGACAATGAATCTATCAAATTTGTAATTTTTCGTCAAATATTTGCTCAATTGAATTAATTCTTTAAAAACGTGATTGAATAATATAAACTCAAGCGAATGGTTTCAATTCAGAAGAAAATACGTTTTTGATTTCTTGAAAAGAGAGAGAGTTTGTGGTAACGTCAAAAAAATATTACTTTCCATATCGTTCTGTACCTCATACAATTTATAATCCCTTAAATCAATTCACTTTTTTTATTTTAAAAAAAGGAAGTTCAAACTTGCCATTTTCATACCACATTTTATTTATGGTTGTAAACAAAAACCATCGGTTTAAAAAGGAATCGACCTATTTGGTATGGAAAAATGAAATTTTTAGCAACAAAAAAAAAATAAAATAAAAGTGACACAAATCTGGGGTACAATCCATGTTGGCTACTCTTTGATTTACCCGGTCGTCTGACAATTGATCAATAAAATTAACCCAATTTCATGTTTATTCATTTACCTACAATTATTTCTAAAAGATTAAATAGTCTCGGCAGTCGGTGATAAACCTTTTATGGTTAGTTTAGGGGATAGACGATCCAACATTTTATTTTATTTTAATAGTGGAAAATCAAATCCACATGACAACATTTAAATAATTCAAATAATTTAAAAAGACAACCATTAACCAAATTTGAATTAAAAAAAAAAAAAAAAAAAAAAATGCTCCGTCAATTTTCTACCGATTGTTTAAATGAAATTTTTGAAAATTTGGAGGATAAAGCTACCTTACATTCATGCTTACTAGTTAATCATCTTTGGTGTCAGGTTTCCGTTCGTATTTTGTGGAGAAACGTATGGGGTTATAAATGCAAGCCGCACAAGTTGCACCAATTTCTCAACACTCTGACCACGTGTCTCCCTAACGAATCAAAAGAACTATTACGTAAAAATGGAATTTACATTTCGAGGCAATCCTCATTGTTAAATTACGCATCATACTGTAGAGTCCTCTCAATTCATGAAATTGATCGAATGATTCAATATGTTCTTAAAAATCAATGTAGCACACCATGGGGCTTAAGATATCATAAATATTTGTTATCACAAGAAATATTAAAAATGTTTATGAAACAAATTCCTTCTTTAAAAGAATTGAAATGTGATTCAACTGAAAATCTTTCAAACGCTTCCTTTATACACTTTCCGGGATCGTTAGAATGTTTAAAAAATCTTTCAGTATTAAAGTGTAGTTCAGGCGTTTATCCCGAATTCTTTTATCAACTATCCCAATCGTGTCATAACATCCAATCACTAACTATAAAAGTCAAATGTGAGATCTCAAATGGATTAATAGATTTAATCTCGTTGCAAAATAATCTAAAACATTTAACCTTAATAATAATACAAACAAGTTTTGACAATCAATGGACCGAGATCATACCTTCGTTGACAAATCACTCAAAAACCTTGATCAAATTACGAATTTACGGGGGAGAGAATTATGGACCTTTATCATTTATCGCTGATTTTAAAAATTTACAAGAACTTTTCTTATCATTTTATTATTTAGATACATTTGGGGATTTTAAAGAGTTGCAACACGTTGATTTTCCGCATTTGCGAATTTTAAAATTTCCGTACGGTTACCCAAATCATGAGTACCTAATCAAATTCTTGGAGAGAAATGGAAAGAATCTAATAGAATTTGACATTGGTGACGATAACGTCTATTCAAATTTAGCTATAGCCAAATTTTGCCCAAACCTTAGGATCCTTTCTACTTTAATAGATGATTTGTCAACATTGGAAGAAATTCTCATTAATTGTCAACAATTGGAAAGTTTAAAAGTTTGGTGCGGTAATGGAAATGACTTTTTTAATGAAAGTGAATTATTAGAACTTATCGCAAAATGTTCACCCAAAATGTTTTATGAATTAAAGATTTATTACGCGGAAAACGTACAATCAGAATTGCTTTCAAAGGAACTGGAATCATTTTTATCAAGTTGGACGAATCGGACACCGCTTTCGCTGATCATTATTAATAATAATCGTTATTGTTCAAATAGTTTAGACACGAAAAATGAAAATTTGCGAATAATTGAAAAATATCATAAATTAGGTATCATCAAAAAATTTAAAATTTTGATAGATGATGATGAATAAAATTAATAAAAAAAAAAAATTAATTCAATGGTTTCAAATATGATTGATCAACACGATTTACTCCGTTTAAATCAGCTTATGATAGTAATGATTAGACTTCGTTACTTCGTTAACAATGTAAAAAATTTACTAGGGTCGTTAAGCAAACCCTATTCCAATAATCTTATCAAGTAATTACTAGTTGTATAAATTATATCTCATCGGATTAAATTTTTTGCGATCCATAATTATTTTATCATTTATTTATTTATTAATTAAGATTATACATTTGTATTAATTTCATTATTTCATACTTTCTCAATCACTAATCTTCTAATAAAATATATGAAAAAGCATTTTAAATAATAAGACATGATTTCGAATTTGATAAATGTTTCAATCATTCGAGGTTATATAGATCGCTTTCTATTACAATCAAATAAATCAAATAGTAAACCGCCCATATAATCACTGCCATCAATGTTTCTATCTTTGACAAATCGTATGGATTTCACAACAAATTTAAAACAATCGGTTACGTCAAAGTTTTAAACGAAGCGATACGTAAAAACTAAAACTAGCAATGAGATCGAGTCATATAAATTATTAAGGCATTCATCGATTTCGGATGTGATAATAGTGAAGGTATAAAGTTTGGGTACATAAATTAATAGCAAACGATAGTATTTCAAACTTTCTTTCAATAAATAAACTGGATGATATTTTCAAGGTAGAACATTTTCTCAAAAATTTCAGTTCCGGTCAGGGCGGATCAATTGAAAAACCCGATGGTCAGGTAAAGTCAATTACATCTTGCTGAGGTGTTCTGATTTGTGGGTTGGGTTTGTCCTGATTATGGTCCTTTATTTCATCTCGCGAGACGGATATGCATTGTTTAATCAGATCCAAACCTATCTTATGTAAAAGCTTTATGCTTTATGACTCCTTAATCGAAAATAAAATCAATGTAGACCCTTCAATCATTATGTTTTATTATTCAAAAAGTATAAAATCATATTGCGACGACGTGTTTACACTTTTAAATATGATTGCAAAACTAATAAATTTCGAAAAGAACGGTAATATTACTGCGCATTGAAAGAAATCAATGTGTGATTCTTTTATGCTAATAAATTTATATATTTCTAAAGCTTCTTTTTTCACTTGGAAAGGAACCATAAAATTTTACTATCAGAAATGCTCAATGACATGCAAATGTTCACGCTAAAAAAAAAAATTATAAAAATAAATTTCTGGACAAACATAAAAGATCTTATACGATTATTACTTAGCATGGATAATATTTTGCTTGCTGCAATAGAAAAAGGTTTTTAATTATTGTATCAATAAATTTTCTACGCGATTATTAAACCTAACTCCTTAAAAATTATTAAAGGATAAAAAATTTGTACTATGCAAATTGATGAAAGTAATATAAAATCCTACTTCCTTCTGAACTGAAATCATTCAAATTTCTTTATTCTCATAGGATATCAAATTGAGAAAATATTTGATGAAAAAAATTTACCAAGTTGCATAATATTTAATTAAAGCGTCTCCATAGTATACGTAGGTAGATATACTGTATATTTCGCTAGAAGTACCCTCATTATCAATGGAAAAATTAATATAATTGTCATGTTTTTTGGGGGATAGTATATTTGGAAGGGGGGTAATAATAGTTTTTTTTACATTCCTAATATAACTAGAAAAACAAATACAAATACAAATTTGGGACGAAAAAAAGAACATCCAGTTTCATTTGTGCTCTTATCTATAATTTTTTTTTCTGGAAATTTCCAATAGTTAAACTAAAAAATATAAATCTCTTAAAATAAATAAATAAATAATAATGAAACTAACTACAAAG